TTATGTGTTTTCATGAGAGGCATAGAGGATGGATGATTAGAAAATAGAGATTAGTAGAATCCGGTTGAAAAAACGACCACTATTCATGTAACATCCTAATACTGATTCCGTAACTGCTTGCGTGACCGCTTCTGCTGAACACTCGATTCAATGAATTAGAGTAAGGTTAGATAAAATAGTAGTTATAACTGCACCTCGTCATTTCCTTCAATCCACGTGACCGGCGTGGCGACGCGCAATCGCGTACCGCGCTGGTCGACAACACGTGTCAATCGATAATTTGTGGGAAGTGGCGGCAGTTTCAACGTTCCCCAAAGGGCTCCAGTGTAGCCAGGTGATACTCTGAATTCATTTTCTGCTTTTCAATAGTTTTGGTTGTGAATAACTGAAGAGTAGATGATTAAAAATTCAAGGAGAACATTTTCCAAAATAGCACTCACAAGCTACGAAATGAAGCTAGCACCGATGCTTTTCTTGGATCGTCGCTTGGCTTTCGATGACTCTATACAAAATCAGGGTGAGATCAGAATTTTGAATCTATCCAATAATTTGTTAACCCAAGAATAACATTAACAAAGTGACGCCATTCTCACCGCTACGAATTGAAGTGGTATGATATTGATGATGCTGCCAACATCAGGACGGTAGAAAAATACCGGCTCGGGATCGGTTAAGGAGGAGACGATGAAACCATCTGTAAGAGAACTCGCATTAATCGGAACGCTCAAGAGCAGCTATAACTAACCTTTTTCTGAAACGGCTGCCCTTATGGCGTAGATGTGTTGATCTTCCACCGGCATCAACACTCCTTCAACAGTGATAACCGCCGACATATTCACTATTTTGGCCTGAAAACACCCGTAAGTACTACTTGATATATCGGGAATCCAATTGGTGGAATTACTGTCTGTCCAGGTGTGGTGATATGGTAAGTGAGACGATTCGAAGTGCCTGAAGCGATGTCGCCCACAGTTGGTGATATGGAATTACCTGAAAACAAAGCGATGAGAGATGTGAGAGATATAAAGGATAAAACATTCAGCGTTGAGCAATTATTGTTTGGGATACGCCATGCCTTCTACTTTCATTCTAGATCGTGCTGACATTTGGATTGGGATTCGGCTAATCGCGTACCGTCACGACGGGTCCCGAAGGGCGGGTTCCGAGAGGCTTCGCATAGTTAGAGCTAATATCCGTAGGAAGGACGATCCCACGTTGAACCGATCCAAGAAATTATGTAAGAGCTTCAGGATGAAAGCAGTTACTATAGGCCTCCCTGAGCTCGACGACGGTGACAGATTGACGATATTCTGAAGACGGTGAGGGTAGTGAAGGAGGGCCTGCGTTCACTTATAGAGGGACACTTAGGGAATACTCTGCTGAGGAACTCCCGTCAACGACGGCAATCTCTGCGAAGAAAAAAGGGCCGAAGTGCCGACATAGGCAAAATGTGTTTTTTTTGCCCCCCCCCCCCCCCCTGTTAATGGCTACCCTCCTAGCAACCATGTGCTCTGAAGTTTACGCTTCAAACGGTAATGCAGAAAGGCGATTCCAACGCACTTTGCAGCTCGCTATTGGTGCTCGGTTCTCAGTTTTTCCTAATTACCACTGGTCTGTTCAAAGCTGATTCCTGTTATGAAATCTCAAACCTCTCCGCGCGCGAGTCAGATGCCACCTTCATTTTCGCGATTTGCTCGACACACGGTCTTCGCTAAACAACGCCACTACGCCACGATTTACGAGACCTTTGCGAGTATCATTCGTGACTGTAAGACCTACCCCTACCTATTTGTTTTCCATCGAGTTCCATGTAAACAATATCAAAAGGTGCTGGTTGTGACGACGTTACTATATCGAAATCGGCTTGAGCAACTTGTACATTTGTGAGCGGTGAGTACCTGCAATGCCACTCAACGGTATTTTGAACACTCTTCACCTATGACGAGATGTGTTTTAGTCGCAAGCACATGTACATGTTCAACCGCAGTCAGATATTACAAAATGTGCTCATTACATACCTTAAAATCCCGTTGCTTTCAAGAGACTAAGAAACATCAAAGGAATCAGCATTGCTGTAGCCTTGAAGTCAAGAGAGAGGCTGACATTCTACTGGCGGCCGAGAACATTTTCCATCAGGTTAGCATAGAAGCATAGTTATTTGAAAAGCAAGGAAATCTTGGGAAGATAAAACTTGAAAACCGAGAAAAAATGATAAATAAACTGTTTGAACTTGAAAAAATTTCGGTGCCGATGCTACGATAATGAGGGATTAACACGTTGACGACAGCGTGACGCGGTAACGCGTCCCACTTTGCGCACCTCGTGGGACATTGTGACGCGGTAACGCGTCCCACCCAAGTCATCCCTTTTTCTTGCGCTTGTGCGACTTATTCCTAAGGTCTTTGTACTCATTCTATAGGTCATACATTAGCATACTTAAAACCACATGGCTCACAGAAAGGCCAAATATTCTTTAGTTTGGCAGAGTTTTCCAGACCTTACGGATATGTCTGTTCATTCCTCGTTTTCTTTTCAATAACGTAGACATGTTGATAAAAAGGAATAACAGAAGTGAATACAAACCTATTCGTATGGGAAGATATGTGTTTTTACTGAAACAACCACGTCCAAATTAATTTTGGAACCACTAAAGGGAAATTAAGTAAAATTTCCTTTTCATGGCCTTAACACGTCATTTCGGTCAAACTTCCATTACTGTAACTCCTGATAAGCTAGACAGATCGAACATCATTGAAAACATTTCATCGCATCTAAGTATTGCGTATTTACAGCTCAAAATCCATGGATTTGGTGTGCGGCGGCGGCGCTCGCAAAATCGCTCTTGGTCCCACGCGGTGCAAAAACCAAAACGCGCGATGTCGTCAACGTGTTAAAGGACGAATTCACGATGAAAAGCAACCCATTTCAAATTAACTTAGGGATGGTGAGTGGTACACGAAAGAAGGAAGAACCATGAGAAACGGCCCAGAACCCGAGAAATGGGACCCCTTCCTTGCCCGTTGATTTGCGCATTGATGCGACTCTCATCGCTGTGCCCTCTTCAACACTACGCTCTCTCTGCTATCTAATCACTCGCCACGTATAGACCTGCGGCGAGTGATGTCGGTGGGCGTACCCCGCCAACCGCGCCAAGAGTGAGCCATGCTAGATCGCCGAGGTCAAATCTTTCGCTGCCAATTGCGCGTCAGTCGCACCCTCAGGAGGTCCGCCGGTCTCCTCAACTAGGTGAATTTTCCTTCTTCGACCTTCATTCTAATCGTGAATTCCTCCTTTAACATGCTTTTTGCCTATAAGAAACAATGATTTATTTCACAAAATCTTCTACAACCCGCAATGCTTTAACTTCACCTTTTTCTTCTCATTTTCAAACAAAACTGTGGTTATACAAGTCTAGTTTCAACTAACCCAATGTTCATTACAGCGGTCATGGCAGAGAATGGCTCTCTAGACGAAGCAGTAACGTCACCGTTGACAAAGTGTAGAAGCTGAAAGCATTGAGCGATTTTTCAAAATAAATGATATAGTACTTGAATGATGCCAAACTAGCCACTTTGGGTTACATAG